ATTCGACTTGCTGATGAGAATGATAATCAAGAGGTAACGGCAATGGCATATCGAATCGCTTTGAATGATACTTGAAAATGTGTCCGTAGAAAACTTGTTGACACTTTCGTGATTGATTATCGCGTTTCTGAATGATCTGAGGGACTTGTATTCAACCACTTCATTATTGTTCACGTTTCAGGTGATAAGTGGACGTTTGGAGGTGAATGTGGACGGTCAATGGGGTACAATCTGTAACCGAAGTTGGACAGCCGATCTGGCACGTTTGGCGTGCAATCAATTGGGACTTATAATGGATGATGAATTCTTTGAAAATTGGCGAATATTTCCATCAGCGGGCGATCTACCGATGGTCATGGACAATATACGATGTGAGGAACGAGAATACGACTTGACCAAATGTCGTCACGATGGAGTGACGCATGGCATTGCGTTGTCGTGTCCTCCTTCTGATGTCGTCGGTTGGTTTCGATCAAATTCAGAATCCATTAACACAGAGAGCGTTTAGGAGAGCACACGAACATACGAACGTAGCGATATGATGATTCAAATGAAATGTGCAAACTAAGTTCATATCAAAGAGATGTTGTTATTCAGAACTTTGCTTGCACTATTTCGAAGAGTCATGCTTATGAACGCTTACGGTTTCCTGTCGTCCTGAAACGGAGATGCTGATTTCGTGATATAGACTCAATATTTCGAAGATAGTTTCGAACAGTTAAATTCCAAAATTGGATTGAGTGTGCAGTGTTGTATCGCCGCTCAATTGAGGAACAAAATTCAGGAATTCGATGCGCAGAACCACGATGGGCTGGTGTTCGTTATTCACTTCTCGCTAATCCACCAGCAATTACCGGTCAAACTTCAATGGGTCATTGGATCATTGAAAAAGCCGGACTGTTCGATTTTCGAAGCAGTGAATTCAGTGCAGCACTGCAGATCGACTGGAACTATCATAGTTTTCAATATTTGACGATACGTGATAACTATTGGAATGGCATTGATGTTGTTTACAACGACTTGACCAAAAAGCCAGCGATCAGGAACAGTCGTTTCGAGGCGAATCGACGGCACGGTTTCAGAATGCGCTCACCTGGAATGACCATAGAAGAAGTATGTCATCTGACCATACACAAATTGTCTTTTCTGGATGTTCCTGCTGATGAAATAGATTAAGTGTTGAGAAACTCATAAGTACGTGAAACAGAATGTGAGCATAAGCTGTAAGCGGCTCGTACACACAAGCCTAAGCGAGCAGCTCTAACCAAGCTCGTGAAAAGTGTGAGCAGCTTAAAAACTCCACTGACCTCGTAAACAGTGAGTGAGCGCTACCATTTTTCAAATATCCCTTATCACCGTATAGAATTTTATCTTTCAACTGATCGAACGATTTGGATTTAATTTAATTGATTGATACCCTCACGAAATCGCTTGTCTTACTCCAACGAAATTTTTCGTCTCTTCAAGATGAACTAATTCATACATTTGTGATTTTCTGCGTCTATTTGCTGCTAAACTGAAAATTATCGGTGATCCATCCTCTCCCGAAAACATCCTATTATCATTTCAGGTTATTGTGAGCGGAAATGGAAATGCCGGATTCCGGTATGATCCGCGTGTTTCGGTGCCACTGCAACGTGATATTGTCACCTGGCTGGTGAGACGTGATCAGCAAGAAATGGAAGCCAATAATGTCTATGTGATTCCGAATCGAAGCATCACCGAGCTGGTTGTCCATGAATCGCAGCTCAGTCAACGCAAATTCCTTCTGGCACGCCCAACCACTGACTGTCCACTTGGTTGGTGCTGATGACGTTCAGATGAGAAAGCGATATTTATTCGAATTAACCGAATTAGTAGAATTCATCTTTTTTTTCAGAATTTTTTCTCAAAACATTTCAAACGAAAATAGCGAAAATTGTTT